GATGCAATGTGTAGTTGTAGAGGGCATGCAAGAAGTGTAGTTTGTGTGGCTGCAGATTCTACACAACCAAGTGAGGATGGACTGAATTTACATATATTTGCATATATCTCCCATGATGCAATGTGTAGTTGTGCAGGGCATGCAAGAAGTGTGGATTGTGTGGCAGTAGATTCTACACGAACAAAAGTAAGGATAAACTGAATTTACATATATTTGCATATATCTCCCATGATGCAGTGTATGTAGTTGTAGAGGGCATGCAAGAAGTGTAGTTTGTGTGGCTGCAGATTCTACACAACCAAGTAAGGATTGATTGAATTTACATATATTTGCATATATCTCCCATGATGGAATGTGTGTAGTTGTAGAGAGCATGCAAGAAGTGTGGATTGTGTAGCAGTAGATTCTACTCGGACAAAAGTAAGGATAGATTGAAATTACATATATTTGCATAATTATATAGTTTACATATACATGTCTTCATTCACTGAAATAATCTTCTGTCATTTCCTCAGTTCTGTAGTGGGTCTTTTGACAAGATGCTGAAAATCTGGTCAACAAGTGAGTATTCAGTAGATTGGATTGCTATGACAACATACACAAGTCGAAAACTTTTTTTCTATTTGACTACACCTAATGATTTGTTTGACTGTTTAGGCACAGAAGACATGGAAAGAGACATTGATGAGACAGATAAATCCAGGAAAAAACAAAAAACAGATAACAGAAAACCAGTTGTTCGGGTAAGAGTAAGAAGCTAGTTTGCATTGCATCCCTATATTCCCTGCTCCATGAGTTTTGGTGTAGTTAGGGAGCCCAATAATGGTGCCCTTTAGGACAATACAGAATATGCACACCATCTTTGTGTGGAATGAACTATTTCCAAAAAAAAATGAACAATAAATGAGAAGGATATTTCTTTTTATTTATATATTTGACATATTCTAGTTTTCAATGTTCTTTTTCATCCTATACCAATGTTTTGCTTATACAAATGTTATAAATTTCCTACTTTGTTGAAAGTCAGGTCTTGAAAATGAATTAAATAGCAGAATTTGAACAAGATCACTGTAGTCTCAATATGCATTGTTATTTTTCAGTAAATCTCTTTTCCTGAAATTCTCATGCAAAAAATATTTAGAAGTATTTTTGTGCTTGTAAATTTATTTTCATTCAAATAGGCAACTTAATGCTAACAATTTTGTCTAAGGTGATCTCATGGATTTACCAGAACAAGTGATTTTCTTCATTATGTGAGCACATGAGCATTGCACTTCACATGACCCAGAATGCAATGTAATCAAGGCTACATAGTGATTTTGAATGTTGTATTCACATACCTTATTTATGATTCAAATTAGTTACAAATCATGTGCATTGATTTACCCAATGGCGTGTATTTCACAGACTCCTCTGATGACACTAGAAGGTCACAAGGAAGCCATATCATCAGTTTTATGGTCTGATGTCAAAGAAGTCTGCACTGCATCATGGGATCATACACTGAAATTATGGGATGTTGAGGAAGGTGTTCATAAACAAACACTGGTAAGTTTCCATGGTGACAAAATTGTGATATGTTGTTATGACAAAAATACAGTACAGTTCTTGCGGAAGCTTTGGCTTCACTTCAGCTTCACCTTCGCTTCAGCATCGCATCATTATGGCATTGTTATGGCTTCAGCATCGCTTCAATGTCGCGACATTAAAAAGTTAGGCGATTATCGCTTCGCTTCATTGTGGCCTCATTATGGCGACAATGTGGCATCAGCATCGCTTCATCAAACAAAGAAGTACTGTACTCATTTCCTCCAAACCTCTTGACCGCTTCCGCATTTGACCGGTCAATTTCCGTTTTATTTTCGACCGTGCAAAAATTCGGACTACTAAAAATTTTCTGGTTTTCATAGATCACGGTTACTAGTTTAGTAACC